CTTGTCTCCTGCTCTTAAATCAGCTTGGTTTGGCCTTCAGTTGCCTTTCTGCAAGACATCTGTTCCCAAAATAACATTATCAGGACGAATTGTGGGGTTCTTTGTGTTCTCTGAGCTTGATGGTTTTCTTGCAGATGTTTCATTACCTAACTAGGGAACATCATCAGTGCTAGAAGGAACCAGATATAAACACAGAGCAAACCCCACTCCCTTCTAGCATGATGATGTTACCTAGTTGGGTCATGAAATGTCTGCAAGAAAATAACCAAACTCAGAGAGCACCATGTTCAGCCCTGAGCTACAAATACACTCTTCTATCAATATCCGTGAGAATTATTGGTCATTACTCCAAAGTTTAATAGGATCAGAGATGACTGCAGTCCCATCCGGACAGTTATACATTTATCAGCTTCTCTCAACTGGTGTACATATATGTTGACATCTGAGGCTGAAGCAACTTGATTGGGCCATGCATGAATCAGAAGGATAGCGGGGAAAAAAAATCCGCTAGGAAAATTATGCAGGGTGCAAAAGATTTCCATCAGAGCTGCCAATGAATACCAATAAAACAGATTAATATCCTGTGGAAGAGGGGAGGAGGTGGGGCAGTCTCCCATCTAGACATAATGGCTTTTCAGAAGATGAAAAACACCAGGGACTGAGTGAAATGGCACCAAGAATGAGAATGATCTCTGAAACGACACTATTAAATACGGTTCTAAACTGTGGGGAAGAGAGGTAACTTTTAATGGGCAGTTGGCAGGGTGAGCTGCCAAGGAGAATCTGAAATGTTAGCCTATCCTGGCCAAGAAGCACAGAAAAAAACCCACAGCCCTCTCTAAGTGGTTTACAGAGTCAGCATCTTGCCCCTAAACAATCTGGGTCCTCATTTTACCGACCTCGGAAGGATGGAAGACTGAGTCAACCTTGAGCCGGTCAGGATCGAACTGCTGGCAGTGGGCAGAGTTTAGCCTGCAATACGGCATTCTAACCAATGGGCCTGAGGGTTCCTAATGCAACATTCAATGAACTACAGCAAGAGCAAGAGCACTTAGACTTGTATACCGATCCACAGTGTTCTACAGCCCTCTCTAAGCAGTTTACAGAGTCAGCCTTTTGCCCCCCAACAATCTGGTTCCTTGGGAGGATGGAAGGCCGAGTCAACCTTGAGCCAGTCAGGATCAAACTCTCTGACAGTCGGCAGAGTTTAGTGTCAAGGTTCCGATAAACAAGAGCAAACAAATCAGAACTCCGAGGCTTGAGATTTCCTCAAAGAAGATGTTTACTGGTTATAGAATATTGGCGCGGTCAAAAGTAAAACCAAGTCTGAAACCCCCTTCAAAGAGAGACAATATTACAAAGGTGAACTTCCCACCCCAATGCTATGCAATCAGCTACGTTCCCCAATAGACAAGTTTGGCAGGTTTTCTAACTAAATGCTCACACACACACCCATCTAACTGACAGAAATGACCTTGGTTCCCATGGGACAGTAAAATATTTAGACTAGTCAAGTAGTCTAAACTAAGGCTCCCATTTAGACTAATCAAGTAGTCTAAACTAAGGCAACCTAGAATGAGCAAAATGGCTGCAGCCAGATTCCTTGTAGAGTTGACCACGGCTCCTAATGCAACATCCAATGAACTACAGCAATAGCACTTAGACTTATATACGCTTCACCGTGCTTTACAGCCCTCTCTAAGTGGTTCACAGAATCAGCATATTTGCCCCCAACAATCTGGGTCCTTATTTTACCAACCTCGGAAAGATGGAAGGCTGAGTCAACCTTGAGCTGGTCAGGATCAAATTGCCAGCAGAAGTAGCCTGCAGTACTGCATTCTAACCACTGTGCCACTACAGCCTTTGGTTGGTTTCTGCTCGTTGCTTCTCTGGAGAAGATGAGACACATCTTTCTTTTAAGAAAACCAACGTGCTTCAACTCCTTCACTCCAGAAGTCAAGAAAAAAGCATCGATTTGCCCTCCTCCCGTCAGAGGCAGAAAATGTAGCAGTGGGGAGGTAAAAAAAAATTGGAGCCCGATGAAAAATGTAAAGCTTTCTGAAGCTCGGTTCCGATGTGGAAGGAGGAAATTGAATTTGCTATGTTCTCCGAGAGGTTGCACTTGATAGACATTGCAAGAGGGGCAGATAAGGTCATGGAAACTCAAGAAATATCGGATGCGGGGAGCAATAAAGAGAAGCAGTGCTTTCTGGGAAACCCTTCTGTCCTCCATCAAAAGCCGCTCGCTCCATTGTCTGGCAAGTGGAAAAGGCACTTCAGATTAGTTGTGTGTTTTTTTTTCAGAGGGAAAGTATAAGACGGATTCCCCACTCGGCTAAAGGACATGGGAGGGTCTTGCCTGATCATTTGAAAAACAGAAAGGGCTCAGCCTGTCGCTGTAGAAATTTCTTTGAGTGCTAGCTTTTTTTTAAAATTTATTTCCATTGATGGCCGTTGGTTCTGCTGCATTGTGTCAAAGGATGATTTTGATGTGGTTCTACTTGCGGTAAGTTTGCTACTTGGGTCCTCCAAACTTCCCTACCCTTTCTGACTCTGGCTGTTTCTCCAAATGAAAAAAATAAATTTCATAGGAAATGTTCTCCCCAGATGTTTTTTTTTTCTTAGAGATTCTCTTGAGAAAGCTTAAAGATCTTGGAGTTTGCAATAGTGGCGAATATCTGTAGCTGGCGGGTGACATTTACTTCTCTGAGCTTCTGGGTTGGTTTCCAAATGTTTCGTTACTAGGATGGGTAACATCTTCAGCAGAGTTTAAGGGGAGCCTAAATCTTCAACCCTAGTGGACAATCCCTTAAAGATGAGCCAGCCCTGTGCGGCACCTGTCAAAACAGCCAACACAGTTGTAGGCTGCATTAACAGAGGGATAGAATCAAGATCATGTGAAGTGTTAATACCACTTTACAATGCCTTGGTAAGGCCACACTTGGAATACTGCATCCAGTTTTGATCACCATGATGTAAAAAAGATGTTGAGACTCTAGAAAGAGTCCAGAGAAAAGCAATAAAGATGATTAGGGGACTGGAGGCTAAAACTTACAAAGAAAGGTTGAAGGAATTATGTATGTCTAGTCTGGTGAAAAGAAGAAGTAGGGGTGACATGATAGCAGTGTTCCAATATTTGAGGGGCTTCCATAAAGAAGAGGGAGTCAAACTATTCTCCAAAGCACCTGAAGGCAGGACAAGAAGCAATGGATGGAAACTGATCAAGGAGAGAAGCAACCTGGAACTAAGGAGAAATTTCCCGACAGTGAGAACAATTAACCAGTGGAACAACCTGCCTCCAGAAGCGGTGAATGCTCCAACACTGGAAATTTTTAAGAAGAGACTGGACAGCCATTTGTCTGAAATGGTATAGGGTCTCCTGCCTGAGCAGGGGGTCGGACTAGAAGACCTCCAAGGTCCCTTCCAATTCTGTTAGTTATTCTGCTATTCTTTTTTTTCCTTCCTTCCTTCCTTCCTTCCTTCCTTCCTTCCTTCCTTCCTTCCTTCCTTCCTTCCTTCCTTCCTTCCTTCCTTTCTTCCTTCCAGGTCCCTTTTCAAATCTGTTATTCTGTTATTCTAAAACCAAGGAGGTGATGATTGTGAAGATCCATTGGGAGATTTTTAAACCTGTGCAGAGTTTTGGCTGATGCTCAACATAGAAAAGGTCTACCTTCTCCTTTTAATTGGAATATTTCATGGGTCAGCTGTCTGATTTTGGGGCCCATCCGTCTCGGCTAAACAATTGTACTCGAAGGAGTTATTATTTAGAGAGCTCACAAATAAAAGGGCAGAAATAGCAGAAATAAACACCCAAGTCTGGATTTGCTAAGGCATGCAAATAAAGGATGTTTTCGTGCTGCAAATTAGCCAAGGGTTCAACGCTGGAGCTCTTTGCAAATGCCAAGGTGGAAAAGAAAAAAACTTATTTCCAAATGTCATGATTAAAATACCAGCGCACAGTTTAAACCGCAGAATTGTTTCTCGCCAAACGTGGGGATGATGACCCCATTTATATGTCTTTTTTTTTCAAAAAGGAACAAAATAAATTATGGATCGGAGGTCTAATCAATGCATACTGGTCTACAAGATAACATGCATTTAATACAAAAAAATAATGATTTGTGGAGCAACAGTGGATGAGAACAAACCAGCTTCTTGTCTATGTTTTTCAGAAATACCTGGTCAGTCACTATGTGACACACAGTGCTGGACAGGCCTATGGCCCTTTCTGACTGAGGACGCTTCATTGGTTTATCACTAAGTCAGACAGACGTAGATTATATCTGAACAATTAAAATGAAACATGGTCATTAACTGAAAAGTTGTTTAAGAAAACAAAGATAGCAATAGACTTATATACCACTTTACTTCACAGTACTTTACAGCCCCTCTCTAAGTGGTTTACAAAGCCAGCATATGCCCCCCCCCAATAATCTGGGTCCTCATTTTACCGACCTTAGAAAAATGGAAGGCCAAGTCAAAATTCTAAATATCAGAAGAAATTCATCTTATACATCTTTGATACTTTATCTGCTGTCAAATAGATCTTCAGTAACAATAATTTAAAAAAAACAATATTTTCACTCTTCACTCTCACAGTATTGCTGCAGTTGTGATACCGAAGGAAGAATGTTCTTACCAAAAACGTTCCTCCAATTGTCCAAATTGTCATGATGGAACAATTGTCACAAGAGGGAGGGATTTTTTCCCAGAGGACCAACAGACAACGCAACTTGGAATTTCTGGTAGGCAGGAAAAAGATGAAGGTAAACTCTCCCTAGACACTCATAGAGTATATCCATAGTTGTGGGGATAGTTGTTCCTTTCGTCTGGCAACATTCTGCCTGTAAGCAGAATAAAGGACTACTCAGAAATAACTCCACAAGTTGTTCTTGGCTCCTCAGGCTGACAAATATGGTTGCTTAGAGAGCATAGCTAAGTCACATTCTGGGAAGAAGCCACAGCTTTAGTCCAGAGAGCAGAGAAACAGAGGTTCTTACCATCAGCAATGAAGTGCTCGGGAACATGAAGGGTGACTTTGACCGTGAGTGGACAGGAGATCTGGGTGCCACAGACCATGGCCAGGATGCAAGAGCTCACAGCAATTAAGGTAAGGGCTGTCTTGTTCACTGGGCTTTTGAGGGAACCTGGAGAAGAGAAACAAACAAACAAGAAACAAGTCAAAAACTCAAAAAATATAGATATGGTAATTTATGAGAGAGGTGCTGCTTGGGCATTTCCCCTACGCTGTATTCCTGTATTTGAGAGGGATGAGAGGGGAGGAAGGTGAAGGGAGGAAGTAGGATGGTAAGAGGAGAAGGGGAGGGGAAGAGAGTAGTGAGGGGAGGAGAGAAAGAGGAGGGAAGTAGGGAAGGTATTAGAGAGGGTGGATGCAGCTTGGGGGGAAGGAGCAAGCGGCACCTATGGTTATGGTTATGGTTATGGTTATGATTATGAATTTATTTTATTTTGTAAAGTGAATTTTGTCATATAACTATGCTGGATAAATGGAAAATAAAAAAAATTATTTAAAAAATAAATAAATAGATTAAAAAAAACTCAAAAAAACCCATTCTCCCTACCCCTCCACTGAATTGTGTCCAATTCTTGGAGGTTGCCTTGAAAAGTGCCCTGTAGTTTTCTTGGCAAAGTTTTGACAGTTGGCCATTCCTTCTTTCCTAGGGCTGAGAGAAAGGGACTGGCCCAAGATCAACCAACTAAGGTGGGACTAGAACTCACTGTCTCCTGGTCTGTAGCCTGATGTCATAAGCACTACATCAAACTGGCTTGTCTCAAAGACATACAATATATGAAAAGCTCCAGGGTTTTGCACCAGTCCATCCGCCTTCAGAATATAACTAAAAGCCTATCAGTATTAGCTGGCATGACCACCCCTGAGACAGTTGACTGGATTTGTAGTCCAAGCTGCTGATGACCCCATGTTACCAAGCCCTGTTACAAATGAAAAGTTTCATATCTTTCAGAGTGACATCTTATCAACTGAAAGCAGAAGGACTTAAATGCAGACACACACCTCTCCCGTGTTACATTTTGATTCAAAGGAAATCCAGTAAAAAGATCTGATCGTTTTATTCCGGTTTTCAAGCAAAGATTGCCAGATCAGAGTATGTAGAAATAATAATTCCGTCTGTCTCTTAAGTACAATGACGGAAAAGGGCTTGGGGAACAGAACAGAATCCCGGCTATCAATTCATCTGTTATGAGCGGTTATGTATAATTCAGGGATTCTAGGAGATTGATAGAGAGAGATGGAGGATTCCTTTCTGCTCGTCTCGCTGGTCAGAAGGATGAATCAGTAGGTCCTGGCAATAACTGAGGAAGGAGATTGAGAGATGACACAGGATGTCCTAAAGATGCTCTTCAAAAAGCAGCTGGACTTTCTTTGTACCTTTGGGACAACCGTGATTTGAATGACTGAGAATTTTCATAGATACTCAACACAGTTCAAAGCAACTGTTGGTGTCAAAGACCCATTCTGCCCTGCCCTTGAAAGTTCCTATTCAAATATTTGTCCCTTTCTTGGAGGCCTTGTTTCATTTTGGAAGCCTGTTGAGTTTCTGATCTTTCTGGCCACCCATAAAGTCTCTGTCCTGTTATCTAGGTAACTTGAGCCATGGTGGTGCAGTGGTTAGAATGGAGTATTGCAGGCTGACTCTGCCCACAGCCTGGAGATCGATCCTGACCGGCTCAAGACTGACTCAGCCTTCCATTCCTTCCGAGGTCAGTAAAAATGAAGACCAGATTGTTGGGGACAATATACAAATCATGCTGACCCTGTAAACTGCTTAGAGAGGGCTGTAAAGCACTATGAAGCGGTATATAAGTGCTATTGCTATTTTGATGATCTACAGAAGATAAAGGGCGAGTTCTCTTCATGGTAAACCAGAAGTCCATATGAGTATGCCTCTCTTCCTTTAAGTTACCTTGACCTGCTCTGTTGGGAGGACTCAAATCCAACCCATGGGAAAAAGAAAAAAGAAGCAACTTTCTAAAGAAATGCAGTTCTGTCATACTTTCCCAAGAATTCAGCTCTCAACTTTTATGGCACATTAACTGATCTCTTTTAATCGACAAAGGAAGCTCAATGTACCAAATCACAAAAGTGCAATTTCCTAAATTCCAAGGGAACTGTCTCTCTTTTTATCTCCATCCAAGGCTAGACTGCATATTTCTCACACGCCACCACAACAAAAGGCGTGATAGATCCTCATCGCTACAAAGGATGAAAATCAACCAGCATTTTAGAACAAAGTTGAGTAGGAGTTGATGCACTAGGTGGGCAGATCCCTTCTCCCCCAAGTCATTTGTTAGTCACAGAAAACTGTTTCATCTTTCAAAGTTGCAGACACAAAGGGCCTGTAGGCAAGTGTGGGCTGACATTTTCAGACATCATGAAGACCATGACTAGCAGAGGTTGAGCAGCCCAAACATGGGAGACTGTTCTTGCTGTTTTGGTGGACCATGGAGCATTGAGGATGCCAAGAAACACCAGGAATTAAAAAAAAAAAAAACAATTTGTAACTGGCCCTACCTTTGAGTTTATATGAAACTGAACAAACAAGGATTTTACAAAAAAAAAAAAAAAAAGTCTAGTTCCCAGGGCGCTCTCTGGATGGATGGATGGATAGATAGATAGGCAGACAGACAGACAGACAGATACTAAATGATAGAGATAGACACAGATGATAGATAGATTATAGACGGATGGTAGATGATGAATGATAGATAGATAGATAGACAAGATGAGATAGAGATAGATAGATAGATAGATAGATAGATAGATAGATAGATAGATAGATGATAGGCAGATGATAGATGATAGAGATAGACAGATAGACAGAGAGAGATTATAGATGATAGAAAGATAGATAATAAATGATAGCGAGATAGATGATAGATAATAGACAGATGACAGATGATAAATTATATAGATAGAAGATATAGATTGATAAATGATAGATATAGACAGATAGGCAGACAGACAGACATAGAAATAGACAGATGATAAACAAATAGACAGAGACAGACAGACAGAGAAACAGATAGATATGCACGTGCCTGGGACCATCAACATAGCATCTGGACAGCGATATGCAAAGCTAGCACCAACATAAATGCAGAGATGAGTTTTATAGCTTTAGGATATGTTTATACGAGGAAGCAACAGCTTTAAGTATAGAAGAATTTTGAGCAGTCGAAAATAAGGCCATGAGGGAGAACTGGGGGGGGGGGTGAAGAAGCAGAAGAACTGGAGGATCAAAATAAGGCAGCCTCCGGCCAAGAAGTCTGTTTTGAAAGTAGAGAAGACTGATGAGGAAGGCTGAACCAAAAAAAAAGAAAGAAAAAAGAAAAACCCTTAAAAATAAGTATGCCTTCTTTTTTTAGATTGCAACCAAGCAACTTCCTATAACCAAGTCAATTAATTGCTGCTTAATTGGGCCTTAAAGGCTTGAGAGAGAAGAACCTCTGGAGAAGCTTCCAAAGAATGCTTTTCCAAATTAATAGACCCCATGATTTCTAGCCTCTGCCCTAAATTTATGTTGGCCTTAATTTGTTTCCATTTCAGAAGTTAAGGAGAAGAAGGAGAAGGAGAAAATATCCCGACAGCTAAAACAATTAACCAGTGGAACAAGCTGGGTGCTCCAACACTGCAGGTTTTAAAGAAGAGATTGGACAGCCATTTGTCCAAAATGGTCTAGTGCTCCTGCTTGACCAGGGGTTGGACTAGAAGACCTCTAAGGTCCCTTCCAACTCTGTTCCTATGTTATTTTATCAAGGAGAGAAGCAACCTAGAATTAAGGAGAAACTTCCTGACAGTGAGACGAATGAATCAATAGAACGGCTTGCCTCCAGAAGCTGTGAATGCTCCAACACTGGAAGTTTTTAAGAAGAAACTGGACAGTCATTTGCATGGGATGAAATAAGGTCTCCTGCCTTGAACATGGAATTGGACTAAAAGACCTCTAAGGTCCCCCCCAACTGTGTTATTCTGTTAATTTTTCAAGGAGAGAAGCGACCTAGAACTAACAAGAAATTTCCTGACAGTGAGAAGAATGAATCGGTGGAACGGTTTCTCTCTAGAAGTTGTGAGAGCTTCATCAGTGTGATTTTTCAAGATGAAATTGGACATCCACCTGTCTGAGGTGGTCTAGGGTCTCCTGCTTAAGCAGGGGGCTGGACTAGAAGACCTCCAAGGTCCCTTCCAACTTGGTTATTCTGTTATACAAATGGGCCCCAAAGGATTTTCCATCAAGGGGCAAAAAAAGGGATTAAACATCAAAGGAAACCGATGTGGTTATGGCCAACCATGTGAAGGGGAAAAAAAAAAAAACAGGACACAAAAATCATATTGTAAATCTTCCTTTTCCTTGCTAGTTGAAAAACAAAATGTCACAACCTATTTGGTGCCTTAAATCTGTTTTGCCCATGCAAATACACGATGTTCTTTGCCTCTTTTAGGGAGATCTCTGTCTTACCCCATGCTGGTTTTGTTCTAAAGGCTCACAGGGCTGAAGGAATATCATATTTTCTCTCTTCTCGGGAAGAAACCCAATTATGTCTTCTTGCTATCATAAAGTGTCAAGAGTTTACGACAGGAGAGAAGTTCCTTGTTGGCAAGATTTAGCCCTCCGCTTTATGTTTAATGTAAATGGCATACGGTGGGGAGCCAGGCCTATAAATATTTTAAGTAAACAAGACAAATGACCGTAGCTTTGGTTTTCATGGCTGGCCTCTGGCAGTAATAAATGCCTAACATAATATTCCCAATCCATTTCTGCCGCCGAGCAGGGGCTTCGGGAGACTGGTGGGCATTTGAAATTCTGGAAGGCCCTCCGGCCATTTTGAAAGGGTTCAGTTAGGAACAAGGAAGGTGATTTTGTTCATCCAAGATGTTGGTTTTGTGAGGGAAATATATCACTGCTTCACTGCGTTGGCCAAACATATATTTTTAACAAATAACCTGGAATGCGGTATGCGGTCTCCTGAGTTGAAGAATGGGATGAAAGTTACATGGCATTAGAATTTTTTTTAAAAAAAAACAGGCCTTGAGAAGAAGATAGTGTTGATCTATGACGCCAGATGAATTGATTTATTTATGATATTTCACCTTCATTATTTTGGGAAA